ATCACATTTCCATTCTTAGCATTTATCACAAAAGCATTTTAATAACTATTTCCCTAATTATTGTTTTATATAGTCTTATCTTTTGAATTCTAAGTTTCATGAACCACAAATGCTTGTTTCTATGCATAGCATAGTACTTGACACAGACTAGGTATTTACTCAATATTTGCTTAAAAGAATGTATTAAGAACTATAAACTGAAAGAAAGTATTGTTAAGTCATTAAGTCTGCTTACTATGCTAATATCTCAAATTCTGGAATTTAGAAAAACTTTGATTTAAAAACAAATCCAATTTTATTTAGCCTCATGTATAGACAACAAAGAAATGAAGATGGAATGAGAAATATTTTTTTAAAAAAGAATCATGTTCATGTTCATCATTACCTAGACTTTTTCATGTTTCTAGTCACCAAAAATCCAAGTTAAGCCTAACCTTGTCCACAGAGCTTCCTCTGTAGCCACTCTGTAAATTACTCAGTAGGATCCTTCCTATCTCTGATGTCCTTCAACCATCACTGTCTTTACCACTCATTCTTGACATTGATTCAAGATATCTGCATGCTTTAACTGTGTCTTAATCATCCTGAGTATTATCTATCCAGTAATATCCTAGGCTCCTTCATGTCAGATCTCCAATACCTTTTCCATGTTGCTTGAATAATGCTACCTATAGTAAGCACTCAAATTTGTTCAAGTCACATTGGGAACATGGTGTTAACTAGGTCAAGGGGTCAATGTCTATTTTAGGCGGTGAGCATCATTCTGTGCAAAGATTAAAGCAAGGCTTGTGAACTGTTCTCCAACTTGCCTGAGAATTTTTTCAAGGCAGCTACTTGGGGAAGGTGCAAATAATCAGTGCTTTCAACTTTCATTCCCCATCTCCATTACTCAACCCAGAGTGATGCTTTATTTATTTATTAAAGTTCTCTGGCCTAGAAAATTCTCCATGCCCCAGCTGAGTGTCTTGAAAATGAATCCTAGTGGCCACAAGATGTTCTGCAAGGTGTATGCTAGTGGTTCCCTAAGACCAGCAGCACTAGCCATACCTAGGAACTAGAAATGCACATTCTCAGACCCTGGCCCAACAATTCCAAATCAGAAATCAAGGGATTAGGTCCAGCATTCTATGTTTAACAATCTACCCAGCCTGGTTATCTACAATGCATGTTGAAGTGTGAGAACCTCAGGGTAGACATCTGTCAAAACCACTCTAAAAGTAGGATTTACCAAGAGGTAGGGGAAAAGGTATAGCTGCTCTTATTAACCAGGAAGTTTTCCTTCCAAGCTATTAGGCTTGAAGTTTCTAGGAAAGAGGCATAAAACTGGTGAATGGCTTTCCACTGCACTTAAAGTGTACAATCTTTAACATTGCTTACAAAGTCTTTTACACCTAGCCTTGTCTTACTCCTATGCTTCATCTCTTACTACCTTCTCCCTCATTAACTACTCCTCAGTTAAAATGACCAAATGTTCTATCCCAGAGCAGTGTATACCTGTCATCCCAGCAACTTGGGAGACTAAGGCAGGAGAATTGCAAGTTTGAGATCAGCCACAGCAACTTAGTGAGGCCCTGTCTCAAAATAAAAAATAAAAAGGACTGGGGATATGGCTTGTTGGTTAAACAGCCCTGGGTTCAATCCCGGTACAAAGATAAATAAATAAAGTGACCAAATTTTCTATCAGGAGTATATACTTCTTTATTAAAGAATTACTTTTTGAAATAAATAGTAACATTTTATATAATGATAACCCCAAGGGGTTGTGTTATACAAACTGAAAATATAAATAGATTTTTACTAAGAATTGGTTAAATGAGAACTGACAGTCATCTAATATACATCAACCTAATATGTATGCTAATTACATAAATTATCCATATTAATAATCTGTATCACTGTGCTTACCATGTACTGCTACATTCTGTGTGAGCTACAAAGAATTCTGCACACCTGTAATGCTAGCTACTTGGGAGGCTGAGACAGGAGGATCACAAGTTAGAGGCCAGCCTGGGCAACTTAGCAAGACCCTGTCACAAAATAAAAAATAAAATGGCTTGGAATGTGGCTTAGTGGTAGAGGGCCCATGGGTTTAATCCTAGTACACAAAAAAATCTCTTCTCCCATAAGTTTCCAAAGCAAAACTGGAAGATAAACATATATTCTCCCTAAAAATCTAATGAAATAGGGAACTAGGTACAAAGTATTTAAGAAGTGTTCTTCTACCAGGAAATCAGCTCTATAAGCATTGGACTTTATTTTTTTTTTATTTTTTGAATTTGTTCTAATTAGTTATACAAGGCAGAAAAATTCATTCCAATTCATTGTACACAAATGGAGCACATTTCTTTGGTTGTATATGATGCCTACCATGTGGATGTATCACTGTGCCTATCATGTACAAGATACTGTTACATTCTGTGTTAGCTACAAAGAATTGTGCACCACATGTGCAATCATACATGTAACTAGGATAATGACGTCCATCTCATTCCACCATCTTTCCTGCCGCCCATGCCCTCTCCCCTTCCCTCTTCTTTGTCCAAATTTCCTCCATTCTTCACACACAACACTCCCCCCACCCCCACTAATTATGGATCAGCATCCACTTATCAGAGCAGTATCTGAGATTGGGGACTCTGATGACTTCATGGCTGTTTCATGCTTGGTGGCTGGGAAAGTTTCCTGTGCAAAGGTGCAGGATGCCTAGTTGCTATGGCAATGTCCTACATGAGGAGGCTCTGTGCTAAAGTCTTATCAGCCTTGATTTTGATCTCAGGCACACAGCTCCTGGGAAAAAGGAATTCTTTTGCTAACAACCCCAATGTTACACCAGCTCCTGAACCTGTCCGCATAACAGGAACTTTAAACAACTGACTTTCTTGAGAGTTGCACAAATCTCTTAACATTGCACATTGTAACTGTAGAATATAACTACAGAATAAACTGCATAATGTTGCTAATTCTGTAACTTTCATGAATACAAAGAATAATGCTTGCATAGTCTTTAATCTGATTAATTATATATATATATATATATATATATATATATATATATATATATATATATATATATATAAAGATTGCTGGCAGAATTCTTCAGACTTGTTTCTTCATCAGAGAGCAGTGCTCCACCTGATCCCAGCTGTTATCTACAAAATCTAAGTCCATGAGTCTTATTTTTCTTATCCCTCTTAGCCCCTTGCTGGATCCTGCTAGATTGGCCCCACTGGTGGCGGCAACAGTTTCTTTATATGTTCATCTATTGAAGGGCATCTAGGGTGGCTCCACAGTTTAGCTATTGTGAATTGAGCAACTATAAACATTGATGTGCCTGCAATCACTATAGTATGCTGATTTTAAGCCTTTTGGGTATACACCAAGGAGTGGGATAGCTGGGTCAAATGGTGGTTCCACTCCAAGTTTTCTAAGGAATCTCCATACTGCTTTCCAGCGTGGTTGCACCAATTTGCAGTGCCACCAGCAATGTATGAGTGTACATTTTCCCCCACATCCTCGCCAACACTTATTGTTGCTTGTTTTCTTGATAACTGACATTCTGACTGGAGTGAGATGAAATTTTAGAGTAGTTTTGTTTTGATTTACATTTCTCTAATTACTAGAGATTTTGAACATTTTATCATATATTTGTTGATCGACTGTATATCTTCTGAGAAATGTCCAGTTCCTTGGCCTACTTTATTGATTGGGTTATTTGTTTTCTTATTTTGGTTTTGTTGTTGTTTTGTTTTGTTTTGTTTTATTGTGTGTGTGTGTGTGTGTGTGTGTGTGTGTGTGTTAAGTTTTTTGAGCTCCTTATATATCCTGGAAATTAGTGCTCTATCTGATATGTGTGTAGTAAAGATGTTCTCCCACTCAGTAGGCTCTCTCTTCACATTATTGAATATTTCCTTTGCTGAGAAGTTTTTTAGTTTTAATTCATCCCATTTATTGATTGTTGATTTTATTTCTTGTGATTTAGGAGTCTGGTTAAGGAAGTCAGGACCTAATTTAACATGATGAAGATTTGAGCCTACTTTTTCTTCTATTAGGTGCAGAGTCTCTGGTCTAATTCTTAGGTCTTTTTTCCACTTTGAGTTGAGTTTTGTGCATGGTGAGAGATAGCAGTTTAATTTAATTTTGCTGCAGATGGATTTCCAGTTTTTCCAGCAACATTTGTTGAAGAAGCTATCTTTTCTTCAATATATGTTTTTAGCAACTTTGTCTAGTATGAGATAACTGTATTTATGTAGGTTTGTGTCTGTGTCTTCTATTCTGTAGGATAGTTTAAGGTCTGGTAAGCATACAACTTTAGCTCTTCTACCACTGGTACCTAAACATGTCTGGCATTTTAAGCACTCAATAAATGCTTACTGAATGAAAGGATGTACATATGTATATATAATGCAGTTACTAAGTACTTCAGGATTTCAATGAATATATATATATATATATATATATTTAAATATTTACATATATAAAATGGATCAAGGAAAAATCATGATGGAAATGAAATTTTTAAAAGTTATATGGTGCCACAACATAAAACTGATGGTGACATTCTACAATATGTAAAATGATGTCATTATTTGCAATGGTTAATTTGATGTGTCAACTTGACTGGGTTATGGAGTGCCCAGATATTTGGTGGGTATTTCTGTGAGTGGTTTTTGTTCTTTCTTTGTTTGTTTTTGTTTTCTGTGAGTGTTTTCAAGTATCAGGTTTAAATTCGGAGTAAAGCAGATTGTCCTCCCTAATGTGGGTGAGCCTCATTTCATCGGCTGAAGGACTAAACAGGACAAAAATCTTCACCCCTCCCCAGGTAAAAGAGAATTCTTCTTGCCTGATAGCCTTGGAACTAGGTCATAGACTTTTTGTTTTTTCCCTGCCTTCAGCCTAGAACTGAAGCACTGGCTTGAGTCTTAAGCCTGCCAGTCTTCAGACTGGAACTATACCATTAGTTCTTCTATTGTCTTGCTTGCTGACTTACCCATCTAATCTTGGGACTTTCCAGCCTCCATAATCATGTGAGCCAATTTCATATAATAAATCTCTCTCTCTCTTTCAGTATATATGTGTACACACACACACACACAGAGTCATCCCTCTATATCTGCTTAGGATTGGTTCCATGACCAAGTCAACACAGTCTACAGATGCTCAAGTGTCTTATATAAAAAGGCATAGTACTTGCATATTACCTGTTCACATACTTCTGAATACTTTAAATCATCTATAGATTCTTATAATACCAAATACATTGTAAACATTATGTAAATACTTGTTATATTGTTTAGGGAATAATGTCAAGGAAAAAAGTCTGTGCATGTTCCGTACAGATGCAACCCTCCTGGGTCTAACTACATAGTACATGGGTAAAACACAACATGAACAATGCTCAGTTACTGCTAGAGAGAGAATAAGGATCTATGAAATGACAGGAGGCTATAACAGGATATGACTGACTACACATCACTTAATTCTCATGGATTCGACATAGTATTTAGTGTGTAGCAAACTCTAGCTTTGCCTTTGGAACTTTCTGCAGTTTTTTTCAGTATTTTTGATCTGACGTTGGTTGAATTCATGAATACAGAATCTATTCTACAGATATGGAGATCCAACAGTATATCCTATTAGTTCCATTTTTCTGGACAACTTTGAATAATAAACCACCACAGTCTGAGTCTTGGATAGAAAAATGGACTAACACAGAATGGTATTTATTATTTTCTGCTGTTGCATATCCAATGTCACTGACCTCTCATGCACACTACTTATTCACATACTTCTGAATACTTCAAGTCATCTCTAGATACTTACAATGCCAAATATATTGTAAATATTGTGTAAATACTTGTTATATTGTTCAGGGATTTTTAGGGTTTTCAATAAGTAATGATGAAGAAAAACAAATTCTCAGCTTATACCTTTCCTTAGTGACCCTGAATTGGATAATTAACTGAATTACGATATGTCAAGAAAGCTTATTTTGTTTAGAAAAACAAATCATTTATTTTCCAAGGAAAGTTCTATTTTCTTTTTTAAAAACCCATTTTCAAAACCACTAATAAAGTGTGTAAGGAACAAATGAAAATTCTAATAGAAAATGGGCAAAGATTAGGCATAGAACATTTACAGAAAAAGATATGGTTGACAAAACAAAAAGTGAATATACTCACATAACTAAGGAAATAACAAGTCAAAACTACAAAGAGATACCATTTTTAAGCCTATAATGTTGGCAAAATTAAAATTTCCATTATACCCAGATATGGGGAAAACAGACATTCTCATTCACTGTTGAGGAGATATTCCTTAAGAAGAATATGTAGTACAACTTAAATTTAAAATGAAAACAGTGCTTGACATAGCTGTTTTGTTAAAATTTGAAACTTGTTTCTCTAAACAAAATAAGGTTTTTTTGACAAATAATAATTCAGCTAATCACCCAATTTAAGATCACGAAGGAAAAGTACAGGCTGAAAATTTGTTTTGCTTCCTAAACTATTTCTACAATAATTAGTATTTTGGTCTCCTTCATCATATATTATTGCAAATATGCTTTCAAAGCTATATCAAGGTTAGACATACACCAATGTTTGTAAAACCAAAAACCAAAACAATCTCCCACCTGAAAACAGCCTAATTATTTAACAGAAGTTAATTGTTAAATAAATTATGGGAGATATGTACCATATAATATGGATATTCATTAAAGAAAACACAGCACATTGAATTTGCTAAAATGAAAAGAGACCATAGTATGAACCAAACAAGGTACAAAATAGTTTATGTAAAATAACTCCTTTTGTGTGTGTGTGTGTGTGTATTTTTTTAAATAAACAAATATAAACATATACTAACTCTAAATAACCATAGTCATACAGCTCAATAGGTTGAAAGCACAAACATTTGTCTGAAAATATACACTTAAAACTGTCACCAGTGATTACTTTGGGACAAGAAAGACTAGCTGAGTGGTAAATATAAGAGTATATACTTTTTATAATTTTATGAATGGTATCAACATTTAATTGTACATATAGCTTTTATTTTAAAATGCTAATTCTAAAAGAAAGCAGAGAAGATCAAATTCCTACCTGATTCTTTCAAGTAATGCTTAATAATTGAAGAAATTCCTTGAGGTGCCACAAAGTTACAGTCTCCTTCTTTTATCATCATTCCTTCAATAGGAGAGGTCAGAGGCTTCAAAATGCCATGGCCTAATAATTCATCATAAAAACTGAAATAAATCAATATATATATATATACAATGTAAGTAACTACTATGATTAACTCTGCAATACCATATTCTCTGTCAGGAATTTTTAGAGATTATATTTACAAATTATAACTAGGAATCTTCACTGTATATTTTGTATTAGGTAAAACTTTCAATTCAGGGGAAGAACAGAAATGTTCTGAGAATTCATTGAGCTTTTGCTGACATTATTCAAAGCCTATTTCTCCACGTAACTCAGAATTAGTCAATGAAAATAAATAGCAAAGTACTTAGCATATCAATGTTAAATTTTGATAAGATTGACTTCCATCACAGATATTTTCCCTCTTCCTCAACACTAACAACAGTTATTATTATTATTTAGCCCTTTATTTGTTCTAAATATAATCTCACCTAATCTTCACAATAACCCTGTGAGGGCGGTGTTTTGCAGTTTCCTACTTTACTCAAGTGAACATTTTATAGCTAATTTCATTAACAATGATATATCATAATCATTTCTACAAGTGGCATTTTTAAAGTACATTAAAAATAAATGATTTGTGTCCTTTTATAGCATACAACTGCTAAAACTGATTCCACCACTTGCAACGAACTTACGTTTGGTGTTTTTTGGCATAATGAGGAGTGCAGGTGATATATTGAGCACCCAAATCAGCTGTGCACTGTGAATTATGAGGACTGCTGGCAGTAGTCATTCTTCCCCCTTGAATTAATCCACAGGAAAATGTCAGTACATTAGAGTGAGCTTTTTGAAGTAATGCAATTCATCCCAGATTACCCCAAATAAATTTCTTTACAAATGTGTTTTTAAAAATTATTCTTAAGCTCTATTGAAATATAGAAGATAATTAGAAATTATTTTGAAAATTTATACTCCAATAGAATAGAAAATATCAATGACACCTTCAAACTTCTAGAGACATATGAGTTGCCCAAACTGAATCAGAAGGACATACACAGTTTAAACAGATCAATTTCAAGCAATGAAATAGATGCCATCAAAAGCCTACTAACAAGGAAAAGCCCAGGACCAGATGGATTCTCAGCTGAGTCTACCAGAACAAAGAAGAATTAATATCAATACTCTTCAAATTATTCCATGAAATAGAAAAGAAAGGAACCCTTCCAAACACATTCTATGAGGCTAGTGTCACCCTGATACCTAAGCCAGACAAAGACACATCAAGGAAAGAAAACTTCAGACCAATAGCCCTTATGAACATAGATGCAAAAATTCTCAATAAAATTTTGGCAAATCCCATAAAAACATATTTAAAAGATAGTGAACAATGATCAAGTGGGGTTCATTCCAAAGATGCAAGGTTGGCTCAACAAATGTAATTCATCGTATCAATAGACTTAAAATCATATGATCATCTCAACAGATGCAGAAAGAGCATTTGATAAAACAACAGTTATTATTATTTAGCCCTTTATTTGCTCTACATATAATCCCACCTAATCTTCACAACAACCCTGTGAAAAACTAAGGATAGGAGGAATATACCTCAACATTGTAAAAGCTATCTACGTTAAGCCCAAGGCCAATATCATTCTAAATAGAGAAAAACTGGAAGAATTCCCTCTAAAAACTGGAACAAAACAGGAATGCCCTCTTTCACCAGTTCTATTCAACATAGTCCTGGAAACTCTAGCCAGAGAAATTAGACAGAAAAAAGAAATGAAAGGGATATGAATAGGAAAAGAAAAACTCAAACTATCACTGTTTGCTGATGACATGATTCTATACTTACAGGATCCAAAAAATTGTACCAGTAAAACTTTTGGAATTAATAAATGAATTCAGCAAAGTAGCAGGATATAAAATCAATACCCATAAATCAAATGCATTTCTATTCATCAGTGATGAACCCTCTGAAAGAGAAGTTAGAAAAACTACCCCATTCACAATAACCTAAAAAAAATACTTGGGAATTAATCTAACAAAAGAGGTGAAAGACTTATACAATGAAAATTACAGAACACTAAAGAAAGAAATTGAAGAAGACAGAAGCTTAGAAGGTGGAAAGATCTCACATGTTCTTGATGCAATTCCAATTAAAATTCCAATGACATTCCTCATAGAAATAGAAAAAGCAATCATGAAATTCATTTGAAAAAATAAAAGACCAAGAATAGCCAAAACAATCCTTAGAAAGAAGAGTGAAGCAAGAGACATCACAATACCAGACCTTAAACTATATTACAGAACTATAGTAATAAAAATGGCATGGTACTGGCACCAAAATAGACATGTAGACCAATAGTACAGAACAGAGGACACAAAGACAAACCCACAAAAATACAGTTATCTCATACTAGACAAAGTCGCCAAAAACATATATTGAAGAAAAGATAGCTTCTTCAACAAATGTTGCTGGAAAAACTGGAAATCCATCTGCAGCAAAATTAAATTAAACTGCTATCTCTCACCATGCACAAAACTCAACTCAAAGTGGAAAAAGACCTAGGAATTAGACCAGAGACTCTGCGCCTAAATAGAAGAAAAAGTAGGCTCAAATCTTCATCATGTTGGATTAGGTCCTGACTTCCTTAACCAGACTCCTAAATCACAAGAAATAAAATCAACAATCAATAAATGGGATGAATTCAAAGTAAGAAACTTCTCAGCAAAGGAAATATTCAATAATGTGAAGAGAGAGCCTACAGAGTAGGAGAATATCTTTATTACACACACATCAGATAGAGCACTAATTTCCAGGATATATAAGGAGCTCAAAAAACTTAACACACACACACACACACACACACACACACCAAAACAAACAAAGAAACAAACAAACAAAAAAAACACCCAAATAACCCAATCAATAAAGTGGGCCAAGGAACTGTACACTTCTCAGAAGAAGATATACAATCGAACAACAAATATATGATAAAATGTTCAACATTTCTAGTAATTAGAGAAATGTAAATCAAAACAAAACTACTCTAAAATTTCATCTCACTCCAGTCAGAATGTCAATTATCAAGAACACAAGCAAAAATAAGTGTTGACGAAGATATGGGGGAAAATGTACACTCATACATTGCTGGTGGCACTGCAAATTGGTGCAACCACTCTGGAAAGCAGTATGGAGATTCCTTAGAAAACTTGGAGTGGAACCACCATTTGACCCAGCTATCCCACTCCTTGGTCTATACCCAAAAGGCTTAAAATCAGCATACTATAGTGATGCAGGCACATCAATGTTTATAGTAGCTCCATTCACAATAGCTAAATTGTGGAACCATTCTAAATGTCCTTCAATAGGTGAATGGATAAAGAAACTGTGTGCATTTACACAATGGAATATTACTCAACATTAAAAGAGAATAAAATTATGGCATTTGCAGGTAAATGGAGTTGGAGAATATAATGCTAAACAAAGTAAATCCATCCCCGCAAAAAACAAAAGCCACATGTTTTCTCTGATAAATGGATGCTGATCCATAATGGAGTGCAGGGCATGGGAAGAATGGAAGAACTTCGGATAGGGCAAAGGGGAAGAAACGGAAGCGAGGGGAAATGAGGGTAGGAAAGTTGGTGAAATGAGACGGGACATCATTGCCCTAGGTACATGTATGATTGCACCAGAGGTGTGACTACACGTGTACAACCAACAAATGAAAAGTTGTGCTCCATTTGTGTACAATGAATTGAAATGCATTCTGCTGTCATGCATAACTAATTAGAACAATTTTTTAAATTAAGTAATAAAGCCATTGACTGCAAAACAAAATTATTTTTAAGTTGAAATCTTTGTCACCTAACATTATCATAAGGAAGTCAACAGATAATTTGGTCATTAAGAGATTTTTTTTTTTTTTTTAAGTAGGGAGGAGTAAGGAAAGGAGTTGAGTACCTGTAGCAGTGTCTCCCACTTCCTAGTGCATAGTTAACTTGAATACAAGGAATGAATGGAGGTTTGGGATGGATAAATAAAATGACTGATGAAAAGCCAGAATGGCAGAATCAGCGGGGCCGTTTCTTTCACACTGTCAAGAGTCCGGAGAATGACAGCATTTTGAAAACTAGGTTTTTGAAAGGCGGGGTCAATGGGCAGCCGCTTAGGGAAGCTCAGAATCCGGGGAAAGCTGCAATGGCAAGCAGGTAAAGGCAAAAGTCCATTTATTAGAAACCGGGTAAGCTCCCGCTTTGTGAACTCCTCGAGGGCGCCTCCCAGGCACCCCCGCAGGCCTAGCTGGGTAGCAAAAGCAGAACCTGGCTGGGGAATGACAGCCCCTTCCCGGTCAGGCCCGCTCCCGAACAGCGGAAGTGTCCCGTCACGTGACATGGCGCCCACTGCGCAAGAGCTGCCACCAGCAGTGCTGGAGCTGAGAGCTCACGCCTTTCCCAGGTTTGGGGCCGACAGGCAACCCACCTGAGTCCCCAGCCTTGTCCCACACGGCGAGGTACAGAGGACCGGAAACAACCTTCCTCAGGAGCGCTGCGCACAAGCTTCCGGTCAGCCCGGCGCCCACGATCAGCACCCGCGCCATGGAGGACTGCGCTGTGAGCATTAGCGGCCGACTCCGCGTCAGCTTTCTGCCCGCCTGGGCTCCTTAGGTCGCCGGCCTGTGACAGGGCAGTCCCACCGCCCGGCCTGCAGGGGGCGGAGAAGATGTGGCGGGAGCGAGAAGCGAGTTGGCCCTGGAGGAGGCAAACTGGAGCCCGCGGAGAACCCGGGTTTTCCACGCACTGAGCCGCCTTGCAACCACAGGCGGGCCCCGCCGCCCAAGTTCAGAACAGCCGCTTCCCCTTAGTCCAGAAAAGCCTGGAAACTGTGTGGGTTACAGCGTGAGAACCCCTCTCGCCACAGGGCTGGTGTGGACTACAGCGGAAAACCTGCATAGCCTTGCCAAAGGATGACCGATTACCTATTGCGGTCTTTGCTGCTTTCCTATTCTAGATCAAAAGCAAAGAGAGGGAACACACCGGCTGTGGCAGGACAAGCTTTCCTCTGAGGCTGTATAGCCACTATTCATATAGAAAAGGATTTGCAGTCAGGGGGAGATTTCACTTTAACCCCGAGGCGTTGTGCAAGTTACATAACCTTCCTGACCTGAATTTCTGCATCTGTGAAATGCGGTAGTGGTATATCCCTTCCAAAATTAAATAGATTAAAGACGTTTGCTCCACTAGACAATTGTGGATCCCTCCTCTCTTAATATTGAGTTGTGGCAGAACACATTCCATTAGCTCCAAGGGATGCAAGAATGATTAAGAAAAGGATTCGTGCCATTCATTATCTCTCCTCCCCTCCAGACATTGTCCTGTAAATTCTCAAAGAAACAGCAAAAAAGGAATGAGAAATCTGAACTGTTAAAGAAGGAATTTGCAGGTAAATTATTACCTTAGGAAAAGCTATTAAAACAGAATGACAGAACTAAATGTTAACAATGGTAACCAATTTTGAGTGAAAATATTTAAAATTTAGAGTTTCATTTAATGTCCACGTCAGGAAAAAAAAAACTGTGCCTGAAATTGGTGAATGATTAATGTTATGTATATATAATAAAAGAACTAGAAGAAACTATGGATGAACAGATGTAGCCTAAGGAGATAGATATTTCAAGCAAAAAAGTAAAAGATGGAATTGAATAGAAAAACAATTATTTACAACTTCTATATTCAAAATAATGAAATGTGTATTAATACATGAAAGGCGAAAGTTTAATATCCCTATTATATAGTCTTATAAACAATAAAAAAGAAAATGCTCATAAATTAATAGAATTATTGATTTTTTAAATAAAAGAGCCCACATTTAACTTTTGTACATTCAAATGCAAATTAAAATGATTTTTTATTTGCTAGAGTTCCTTTTTTAAAAAAATGCTAAATGTTTACATTTGGCAAGGAGAGAGCAAAATACACACTGATATATTACTGATGAAAATATAATTGATAAATTTTCTGGAGTAGAGTTTGATAATGCATGGGCATACTTGTTTTATTGTGATTTGCTGTTATTTTTTCTTTCTTTCTTTCTTTTTAACAAATTGAAGATTTGTGTTAATCCTACATTGAGCAAAGTCTATTGGCACCATTTTTCCAACTTTAGGATTAGCCTTTTTCTGCAATAAGGTTTTTTTTAATTAAAGCATGTCTTTTATTTAAACATAATGCTATTATTGTACACTTGAACTATAGTATATAAACATAATTTTTATATGTACTGGGAAAACAAAAATATTCATGACTCACTTTTTTGTGATATTTATCTTATTGCAGTTATATGAAACATAACCCACAATATTTCCAAGGTGTGTCTGTATCAAAACTCTGTAATCTCAGTGACTCAGGAGGCTGATGCAATGGGATCACAAGTTCAAAGCCAGACCCAGCAACTTAATGAGGCCCTAAGCAACTTTGCAAGATCTTGTCTCAAAAGATAAAAAAAGTTGGGGTTGTAGCTCAGTGGTTAAATGCCCCTAGGTTCAATCCTCAGTACAAAAAAAAAAAAAAAAACCTAAAAATTGTATCCATTAAATGAGACATTTATCTAATGCATAGGTGTACATTAGGATTTATATATATATGATGCAAGTTATTAACAACGTTAATAAATGGAATAAATGGAAGGTTGATTAGATTATGGCTACCTATATGTCTGTATAAATCCAATAAAAACATGATTTTGAATTTGTAAGGTTGTATGGGAAACTGCTTAATATATAATACTGAAAAATAAAAGGTTATAAAAACATAGTATCATCCCAGGCTTTATAATATAAACATACATATACACAATAAAGGACAGGAGGCACATGTATTTCCATTAATTTCAAGTGTACTATAAAGACCAAATATTTGTAATCATAATTTTCTTAGTTATATACAAAACTAATATGCTAGAAAGAATAATAAACCACTTCCTTAAAGTTGCTTATAGCCTATTTTGAGAGATTATTCTGTAATTAAAAGCTTATAATAAGATTCACAGTTATAAAATGCCTTAAAATCTCAAAATTGTTTAACTGGAAAGGACAGTTGAGGTTGTCTATTCTAACTGCCCCCTGTCACTACCATTTTACAAGTTAAATACACTAAATTTAAAGGAGTTTGCCCAAAGTTACACAGCATGTCAGTGGTTTGCCAGGGCAGGTCTTCATGATCCTTTGAATCTGCTCTCCTACTTTTAAAAAAAATATTGGTTCTTTTTAGTTATACATGACAGTAGAGTCCATTTTGATAAACTTGTACAAGCATGGAATATATTTTATTCTAACAGGGCCCCAGTCTTGTGAATGTACACGATGGTGGAATTCACTGTGATGTATTCATATATGTACCTAAGAAAGTTATATCACATTCTTTATATTGTCTTTCCTGTGCCTATCCCCACTCCCTTCCCTTCATTCCCCTTTGTCCAATCCTCTGAACTTCTATTCTTCCCCTTTCCCCATTATTATGGGTTATCTTCCATGTATCAGAGAAAACATTTTCTGGGGATTAGCTTATTTCATTTATCATGATAGTCTCCAGATCTATCCATTTACTGGCAAATGCTATAAAGTCATTTTTCTTTTTGCCTGAGTAATATTCCATTGTGTGTGTATATATATGTATATGTATATATCACAAATTTTTTATCTGTTGATGGGCAAATTAAAGTTTTAATGCTCATTTTTTTTAAAAGAGAGAGAGAGAATTTTTTTTAATATTTATTTTTTAGTTTTTTCGGCGGACACAACATCTTTGTTTGTATGTGGTATTGAGGTTCGAACCCGGGCTGCACGCATGCCCGGCGAGCGCGCTACCGCTTGAGCCACATCCCCAGCCCCAAATGCTCATTTTTTTAATTGCTCGAGATGTTGAACATTTTTTTTTTCATACATTAGACCATTTGTATTTCTTCTTCTGTGAATTACCTATTCAGTTCCTTTGCCTGGTTATTGATTGGGTTATTTGGTTTTTGGTGTTAAGTTTTTTGAGTTCTTTATATATCCTTGAGATTAGTGCTCTGAGATGCACTTGGCAAAGATTTTCTCCCATTTTGTAGGCTCTCTATTCATGCTCTTGTTTCCTTTACTGTGAAGAAGCTTTTAATTTGAAGCCATCCCATTTGTTGATTCTTGATTATATTTCTTGAGCTTTAGGAGTCTTGTTAAGGAAGCTGTTTCCAAGCCAATATGTTGGAGTGTTGGGCCTAAATTTTTTTCTAGTAGGTGCAGGGTTTCTAGACTAATACCTAAGTCTTTGATCCAGTTTGAGTCGAGTTTTGTACAGGGTGAGAGATAGAAGTTCAATTTCATTCTACTACATATGGATTTCCAGTTTTCCCAGCACCATTTGTTGAGGAGACTATCTTTTCTCCAATATACATTTTTGGTACCTTCATCTAGTACGAGACAATTCTATTCTATTCCATTGGACTTCATGCCTGATTTGGTACCAACACCATGTTGTTTTTATTACTATAGCTCTGTCTGTAGTATAATTTGAAGTCTGGAATTGTGGTGCTTCCTGTTTCACCTTTTCCACTAAGGATCACTTTAGCTATTCTTGGTCTCTTATTTTTTCAAATGAATTTCATGATTACTTCTTCTATTTCTATGAAGAATGTCATTGGGATTTTAATAGGAATTGCATTAAATCTGTATAGTGCTTTTGGTAGTATGGCCATTTTGACAATATTATTTTCTGTGTATCTAAGAACTTGGGAGATCTTTTCACCTTTTAAAGTCTTCTTCAGTTTCTTTCTTTAGTGTTTTGTAGTTTTCATTGTTGGTCTTTCATGTCTTTGTTAGATTGATATCCAAAGTTTTTGTGAGGGTTTTTTTGAGGTTATTGTAAATGGTATAGTTTTCCTAATTTCTTTCTTAGATGATTCATCATTGGTATATAGGAACAGAATTGATTTATGGAATTAATTTTGTATCCTGCTACTTTGCTGAATTTATTCATGAGTTCTAGATGTTATCTGGTGCAGTGTTTTGGGTCTTCTAAATAAAGGATGGTGTCACCAGCAAACAGTCATAGTTTGAGCTCTTCTTTTCTTATTTGCATTTCTTTAGTTTCTTTCTTTTTTTTTCTAATTGCTCTGGCAAGTGTTTCAAAGACTATGTTGAATAGAAGTGATAAAAGAGGGCATCCCTATCTTGTTCCAGTTTTTAGAGGGAATGCTTTCAGTTTTTCTCCATGATGTTGGCCGTGGGTTTAATGTATGTAGCTTTTACAATGTTGAGGTATGGTACCTACACTACCTATTTTTCCTAGTGCTTAAACACAAATGGATGCTGTATTTTATCTAATACTTTTTCTGCATCTATTGAGATAAACATGTGATTCGTGTCTTCAAGTCTATTTGTGTGCTGAATTTCTTTTTATTGATTTCTGTATGTTAACCAGCCTTGCATCTCTGGAATGAAACCTACTTGATCATGGTGTACTATCTTTTTAATGTATTTCTGTATGCAATTTGCCAGTAATTTATTGAGGATTTTTGCATCTATGTTCATCAAAGACATTGGTTTGAAGTTTTCTTTCCTTGATGTGACTTTGTCTGGCTTTAGTATCAGGGTAATACTA